ATAGAGATCATGAGTAGAAAAATGTCTTTGGCACTGGGCCTGACCTCAGTGGGTTTAGAACAAGCAGCCAGTACCATTGACAGCTGTGGGTAGGGCTAGGGGGAGACCAGAGGCACAGGATACAGCGAGCAGAGATCCAGGAAGACTTTATGTACTTGGTGTCTTGAAAAACTCAATTTTCCCTGTTTTTAAAAGGTATTTCTTTTATTCTTCCTGGGAAAATTCAAGTTGTAAATAGAAAGTTTAAAAAAATCATGTTTTAAAGTTATAAATAAAAAATCCTTTTATTGCTGCACATTTCACTTTCCCTTTACTTCCCTAGATTTCTCAGTTCTTCTGTCCAAGTATCACCCTTTACATGATATGCACCAAGGTGAAGTTAATCTTTGGATCAAGTTAAATCTTTTCACCTATAAATGGGATAATAGCATTAATTTATCAATTAAGAATAGAATGCGCTGAGAACATAACAGATATTCAAAACAACCATTAGTTTTCTTCCTCTCATTAATACTTTTTTATCTCTCATTATTTTGACCACCAAACTTAGATTTCAGGACTTTCATGCACTTAAAATGTAAATCCACCAAAGAGCCTTAGTTGTACATTATTGATCATCACCCTATGGAAAAGTGAAACTAAAGAAAAATAATTATTTGTCAATAATTTAATAATTATAACATGTAATTGTTACTGTAACATGTATTAAAAATAAGCACTTCTAAGAACAAAAAAAATAGCAATTTTTTGTTCTAAAACAGAGTGATACTATTTTATATTTTTACTAAACTGTTAAACATCTGGGTCAAGAGAAGACAACTGGATTTTGTGTCTGGATCTGTGTTTAATCTATTCCAATAATTTTTTGGTAGAATTTTATGAAGAAAGCCAAATCTCACATGGATATGTAGCAGTAAAAGTCACTGTTTCCCAGTGACCATGGTCATTCTTCTTTGATATTACATTCACACTAGACAACAAATGAAAATTTTGATGTTGAATATAAAATAATACCTATAAACATTTATATTTGCTTGTATTAAAATCTATCCATCTATCTTGGATTTTTATTCTTTAAACAATGAATAATTTTGCAACAGTATGATTTGGTTACTTGAAAAATATTGGCTGAGTTATGCCAGTCTTCCAGATTTAATGATACAACATCAAAAAATTACCATCAATTTCACCAAGATCCACTGGAAAGAAGTGATGGGACAGAATTTGGGAATATTGCTATTGTTATTCTCATGGGTGGCAAATGAATACTTTCCTAAACTATAATTATCTAGTTACCTTGAACTTTGCCACTGACAACAAATACTGGCAGGCATTTTCCTCAATATGACAGTCTCACTTTATTTTTAAGAATACAACTGCCAAGCACACAGGCTGGAATAATAGTTTGGCTGTCAATCATGCTTTCCCATAAAAATAGTGTTGCCCGGGAAGAGGGTCAGTTTAGCTCAGTCACGTGTGTGCTTTCCCCAATGAGCATTGTACTTACATGCAGCAGAGATGCTTAACATGTACTTCCTATGCATTAAGAGAATGCTACATATTCAAAGATACATATATAATGCAATTAATGACTGTTACTGCTTTATCAGGACAATGAAGTGAAACTGGAATTTACTTTTATTATCATACAGAGCACTTGCTTGTAAAAGGTGTAAGGACCGCATCACAGTTCAGTGTTGCTGTCTTAGTAAAGGCTGAGAAGCCAGGAAGTGACTCACTTCTGCTTCCCCATCAGTGTGAGTGTCCATGCAATAGAAAAGCCAATGGTGTCTTTGTGTTACTGTGAGCAATAGCAGGATCTTAAAAGCCCTCTGGAATGTTTTGGGGATCTCCTAGATCTGAGTACTACACTTTAAAAGTATCAACCCAGGCCGGGCAGATAGCTCAGTGGATTAAAGCGCCTGCTTAGGCAGGAACAGGGACCGAGTTTCAATCCCTGGTGTGTGCATGCTCCCCCTCTGCACCCACCCCAGGTACACTGAGATGCAAGCACCTGTAATCCCAGCACTTGAGAGGCTGAAAACAGAAGGATCACTATGAGTCTGATCTGTGTAGTGAGACCCTGTAGACCCTGTACTAAAATACACTGAAAAAAAAAAAAGTATTAACCCCTTTGGGGTTGGAGATGTAACTCAGTGGTAGAATACTTGTATAACATACAGAAAGTCCTATATTCAACCCCCTATACCACAAAACGAAACCTATCCTTTAAAATCTAATCTCTGATGCTTTCTGGAGTGGCTTTCTCTATTTTCATTGATAGAAAATCACTAAAAATTTATCTTATCCTGCAGGACTGCTAAAAGTGGCTTACATTTTTTGAAACATTTCCCTTGCTGTTATTTCATGTACAGCACAAAATTCATGTCTTGTTTCATTTTTATATTTACATATGAGTTGTAATATGCATTTAAAAATATTTAATAGCACAAAATATAAATTATCTCCCTCCATCAAACATTTTGAAAGATTTTTCTTTAACATCACTTTATATATGCTGTGTTGTATTGTTTTCTTTTGAAGTTGACACAGACAGTAAGGAATTCATTATGGTTTTGAGGAAACTGAACCATGAAATGCTAAATTGATTCCACATAGAGATATATAAACATATAAGAGTTTATGTTTGATAAAGGGGTGATCACAAAATAGTTAATGTTTAAATTTTAGAAAACTTCTTAGCTACAGTAAAGGACATATTACCAAGAATAATGGAATGTGTGTTCAAAGTGAAAGGAACTGTTTTGAGAGGAAATAATGGTAATATGTCTTTTATTATAATAAATACATTTTCTGTATTTATGATTAGCCAGGCATGTAATTTCTTACTATGAAGTTAAGAAGTCCATGTGAAAGACAAAGAAAAAGAAAATGCAAGTCATTTCCAACCCCACTTTTAAAAAAAGATGTTAACTTGCACTTGCCAAGCAAGTGCTTATTCTATTGAGCTATCTCCCCGGCCCCCCTGCAAC